GGCCTTCAGGGCGCCTCGCCTTTCAGAGGCCATCAGACCCCTAAATTCTCCTCTTTTCGCAGAAAAACGGAAAGCTTTTGGCCCTTTTTTTGCGAAAAGAGGGGAGTTTGGGGGTCCGACATGAAAAATGGACTAATGTTTTTTTTTCATCAGGCATATATGTCCCGCTTGCTTGCATGTTGAGGGGCGAACCGACCTCTCCAGGTCTTCCTCACAGAAGCAGATGAAAGCAGGCTTTGTTGGGACTCAAAACCTGCCAGTTTTTGCTCGCCATTTAAGATTAATTTATTTACGTTAAAACTTTTAAAATTATGTTCTGGGTTAGGGGGTTGTAGTGCCGGGTCATCATACAGAAAGATGACAAAACTATTAACATATGGCTTGATGTAGCATGTAGAGCATGCCGAGTTTTAAGTATCAAACCCAAAAATTTGTAGTGCTGCTAAAGGTGAAGGAACTCAGGAAAGTCGCTACGTATCATGTAGAGCATGGAAACTTTTTAAGTATCAAACCCAGAAGCTTACAGCAGAATGCTGGGAAGTCACTGCGTTAAAGCAAGTTGCAATCTGTCTCTGCTGGTGGGTGTGCTGGAACAAGCTTGCTCGGCCATCGCTGCTCAGGCATGTGAACATAGACTGCCTTGGTTTGGGTCTTGCCTTTTTGACTGTAGATGCTTCAGACTCAGTAAAAGTAAACGCTTTGAGTAAGAGTATCCTGGTCTGGTCTGACTACTAAGAAAGTCTTAAAGCTAGTTTTAGAGCATGTACAAACTTAGAGCATGTACAAAAAAGGCTGATGAATACTTGCAGGGGAAGAGAGTGATTCTGACAATTTTTTAAAGGACTTCATATTTCTCTGAAGCTATGCTGCTTGCCCAATTTTAGTGTGAAGAGTTTAATTCTTAGTATTTATCTCAGTTTTGGCATGTTTGGTAAAGGTCATAAAGTAAATAGCCAGGGATGGTAAAACCAGTAGCATTAGAGCTGAGCTAAAGCACCTTTCCCCATGTTTTGTTGTAGTGGTGGTCCTTATGTTCTGGTAATAGTGTGCGTGATGAGGTACTGCTTTAATAATCATTGCACGATCTGATCTTACGAAGTGCCTAACTAGAAATTTGAGGTAGGTGGCAGCCAGTAACTGGTTAATGATCAGTAATGCTGTGTGAGAGGTATATACTTAAAATGTCACACTACACAGTATGACATGACAGGAGAAATACAAAACTTAGTACTTCTGTGATCTGAGTATTCAAATCTAATTAACCAGTGGGATTTTTGTTGTTGTTTTTCCTTCCCTCTTACAGAAGGGGTCATCACCGGTTGCTCCAGTTCACATTGTCAGTGATGAGTCAGCTGACAAGACAAATTTGGGCTTTATTCATGCATTTGTGGCTGCTATATCAGTCATCATCGTATCAGAACTGGGGGACAAGACCTTCTTCATCGCAGCCATCATGGCAATGCGGTACAACCGCTTGACTGTGCTGGCTGGTGCTATGCTTGCCTTGGGACTGATGACATGTTTATCAGGTCAGCTCACTCTTTTTCCTTCATTTCTTGAAATGTGCTAGGTATGTACTTATCAATGAATCTTAACTGAAGTTAAAATGAAAGTAGTAGCTATATGCAGGTTTCTGTTTTGGAGAGAGTGTGAAGGTTTTTCTGGGGACGATGACTCAGATTGAATATTTAGGCTCTTACCAGTAATGAGGTGTTTGTGGTCTCTAGACCTCAGGAAGAGGAATGGGATTGGGAGCCCAAGGTCTCGCTTTGATTTTTTGGCCACTAGTTTCCTTTTTATTTTTAGCTCCTGCTAAATTAGTGTGCCTAAACGGAATGTGGAAGTGATTTCTCTTTTTCCTCCTAAGGCAAAAGATTCTTAATACGATGACAAATTTCCCTGGTCTGACTGCTATCCCTGTATGTGTAGCTGTTGGGATTTGTGCTGGGAGCTGTGTAAGTGGAAGATGACGTTCGGCCGTGATCCCTTGGGAGAGGTGGCACTCGCAGAGCCAAGAGCTGGGAGGAAGTGAGGTGTCAGGTGGCACTCGAGGAACCTGTCACTGTGGGTGCTTACGTAGCTGTGATGGAAAACGGAGCAGCCTTCAGGTGTATTGGATGTGGCATAAATTTTGTTGTACATGTGCTCATTTCTAACCATGCACAGCTCAGAAATAATTGAATAGTGTTCATTGGCTTGTGTATACTGGAGGCAGGCAATTAACTGGCTTCAGGCTTCTTGGGGAGTGTTTCTGTGAATGGTTTTTGTATGTGTAGCTACTGCTATATACATAGCTGCAATTATTATTGCAGTCTTGGAGCAGTTTCCATTTGCACTGTATGTAATGATAGCACTGTTAAGAGTTTCTTCTCTTACTCATTTAATATACCAGTCTTTGACACTTCTTCCCCTTCTGTACTGCTTGCTTCATTTATTATTTCATACCACAGGTGATGCACTATTCTGTAAATCTTGCAATCTCTTGCTCTCCCACTTTCTGTACTAAGTTTTTGTTCAAATATTTCTTGATACTTTTTCATAAAAGCTTTTGTTTCTGCTTTATCCCCCAGTTTAGAGGTTCCCAACTACTGTTTTTTCCTTCTCCCCTCTCTCCACTGCCCTTGTTTTATACAAGCTGTGTCTGGAAATCTCTGGGGTTTTCGCCCACCTTAATTTCATGAAAATGCTCTTTAACTCACTGGCTCCAGGTAATCACTACTTGCTGTGCTTAGAGACAGTTCCACCCTTATACAAAATAAGCTGCCTTAATAATTCTGATTATTTTATTATTTTTATACTTGTATATGCAAGTAATGCTAAAAAATATAATTTTGTATTGTTCCTTGTGTTGCTTTAGTATTTTCAGTCTTTAAAAAGAAGTTTAGTTCAACTCCTTTTTGATTTAGCTGTGCAGCTAATACTATTATTCATATATGCATGTACTGTATTTTCTAATAGTGCAGCTTGATTAATTTTGGTCTTGTAGTTTTACTTTTTGTAGTGGCAGTGCAGGTTAGTTTCCCAATTATATAGTAAATTCTGAGTGTACTTTTCAATTAAGAAAGTGTGTGCAAGAAAACACACATGGTAATATGCTTCCTTTTAGCTAATTACATGTGGAATAAAACAACAGAGACAGTTATGAGTACATGGTCCAAGCAGCCTTGAATGTTAGGTGTGCAGTTTTAATTTCCTCTCATATAGGGCTTTTATGTTGAATATGCTGACTAGTTTTACTTTGTGAAGAAGCAAGCACTTATTCCTTGATATTAGTTCTCAAAGGAGAAATATGGTTTGGCTTAATTTGATCGCCTTTCATACCCTTAAAAGTAGATGCCTTGTGTAGGTAGCTTTTTGAGTGGGTTCAGTGCTTTTAAATTAAAGGAAGATCAAAGTTGGTCACATTGTGTGTTTGTGGGGGCTGTGGGAGAGAAGGGGATAGTAATGTGCATGTATTTGCTCTTGGCAAAATAAAAGAGATTTGGGTTCACACGGCTGAATGATTTGTGGGTATGTCTGGTAGTTTTAACTTGTAGAAAATCTTATTCCAACTTTATCTGATAAATGAATTTATTGGAAAGAAGTGCTGTCCAACATGTAGCCATATGTAAAAATGGAATGAACTGGTACGCACAGTGACTAATCTAACATGATTGCCAATGATTTCTTCATGGCATTCTTGGAGAAAGACAGGACTTGCGTAGTCCTTGGTAGGAAGGATAATGTTGCTTGAACTGGCTCTTGGGAATAGTAGCACATCAACTTTGCCTGGTGTGCCTTGTCTGCATGTTCCTGGACTTCAGTCTGCTATGACCAGTAATGGTTGGAGTTTCTAGCGTATGGTTATCTGGGAAAAAAAACACCACAAAAACCTATATAAACCTAACAAGAGACATGATATTTATTTATTGGTGGATATTTGAATTGCAGACTTTGCTAGTGAGCGTATCTTAGATATGGGAAAAACAATTATGATCCTCATGCTTATTTTTTTAAATGATGCATTTGTTTTCTTTTCAGTTTTGTTTGGCTATGCCACCACAGTTATTCCTCGTGTCTACACATACTATGTGTCAACAGCACTGTTTGCAATTTTTGGCATCCGAATGCTTCGGGAAGGCTTGAAGATGAGTCCAGATGAGGGTCAGGAAGAGCTGGAGGAAGTTCAAGCAGAAATTAAAAAAAAAGATGAGGAAGTAAGTAATAAACTTTCTGTGAGTTATGGCTGATGAAGTAGTTGCAGTGGTGAAGCTGCAGAAGGGCACCACCGTGTTCAGTTGTCTTTGTTTGATAATGTGACACAGAAAAGATGTGGTAAATGGGACAGAAGTGGCCCCTGGAGGCTGTTTCAACAGGTGAGTCCAGTTCTGTGGGAAGCCTCAGAAAAAAAGGGACTGTCTCTATAGTCTTTCTTTTTTCTTTTCTTTTTAATGCATTACTAGCAGAGAAGACATAACAGTTTTCTCTTGCCTTTACTTTTTGTTTCTTTTAATGGTCAGGCAGAATAGTGCTGAGGTTTGCAGTGGCGCAGCAAAGTTTATTGTTATAATAACTTTCTAAATATACTGGTCCACTTCTAAGGACTAGTATGGAGTATTGAACTTATTTCTTTTAAGATTTTTTTAAATTAATTTTACCAAATCTTAATTTGAGAGCCACCACTTGGGAAGAAGGGTATCCCTGCTTTAAAAATAGGAGGAAATCTGTGATTAGAAACCAAT